TTTTATTTATCTGCGAAGCGTAAATGAATGGTCTCTCCTCTCTTGATCTTTGAACTGTGCTCCCAGCGCAGTCTGCAAAATATTGACTAAATTTGTTTGCTGAAAATTTAAAAAAAAAAAAAATTTGCTAATTTTCTTTAGGCAACCTCTCTTCTTTTTTATCACAGGTTAGCTTATCTCTACTAATGGCAGTCTTTCTGATATCTCTGGTCCATTTCAGTGGCAGGGCAATGGTTTCTTGAGCATTGTTTCTTCATTTACCAATGGAAAACATTTTTGAGGCTCGCGAGCAGTACCTCTAGGGGATTACGAAAAGCGGTAAAAGAAGTGTTTTGAGGGGCGTCAGAAAACTGCTTATAGCGGCTGAGTAGCTGGAATGGAGAAATTTTTTAGGTCATTTTATGTGTATTGTTTTTTTATTGATTACTAATGAATATATTTTGAAGAGACCGTGAGTGAGTATTTGTGAGGTTAAGATCTGCATGGATCGAGTGAATTTGGACGTCCTGAAGCCATGGATTACTGCCAAACTTAACGACATACTGGGCATGGAAGATGACGTGCTCATCGAATACGTCTTCAGTCAGCTCGAAGAGAAATCTCTCAATCCAAAAGTGATGCAAATTAATTTGACCGGTTTCCTGAACGCTCGACGGGCCCGAGAATTCATGGGTGTGTTTTTTTTTTCTTTTTTTATATCCTTTTCTCACCACTGATAAAGATTATAATTGTTAATAGAGCACTCAGTCCTATTTTTTGCGAATTTTGCATCTGCAGGGCGAAAAACGCATGTTTTCGAGGATTTGTCTGTGTATGTGTGAGTGCCTTTATGTGTGTCTCTACCGATTTTTCATCTCGAGACCTATAAAATCTACAGAGCTGAAACTTTGGGAACTTAATCTACATGCACATACGGGTCCCTCTCCCCAAAATAGGTGCCCTTATCCACGTGGTTTACCCGTACGGGTCTGCCAAAGTTGTTGAGGAGTATGCTACTAATTCGGGAACCAGAAAAGCCAGAAAGATGAAATTTTAAGGAGATGTTCTCCATCCTTGTAGGTCTTAAAGAGTTGAAATCCAGCCCCCGAGTATGCGGTTCCCACGTACGGACGCATGAAAGTTTTTTGCGGATAAGTTGCTAATTCGAGATCCTGCAATTTTAGGGGATGTTCCCATCCACAAACAGTCCAGTTACTTCAGAATCAGGCTTCAGGTGTGCGGTTTTGCCTGCAAAATTTTTTTCCGGGTAAGTTGCTAACTTGGTAACCTGAAAAATTAGAAGGCTGAAATTTTAAGGGATGTTTCCTGAAAGTCCTGGCGGCTAGTCTCAATTGTTTTAGCTAGAAACATCTGCCGTAAAAAGCAGTGCCGTTAGCGACAAAAATCTGCAGCGAACTATGCAAAAAAACGCATCTTCGCGCCGGCATTCGGTGCGCTGGCCATTTATTATTTATGATGCTAAAGAAGACTGTTGGCTGTATCCGTTTCTTTCAAATTTGCTCTATAAATTACTTGATGGTCTCCTTATTGTAGCTGCTGGAATCTTCGGCCTCTTTTTTTCTGCTCTGAAAGTAAAGAAGAAACGGGTACACGACTTCTGTGGATGAATGTGAGTTTAGAACAAAAAGAAAATTACAAGACGCAGTAATAACAGCATCGATTGAGCGAGCAGTACTTAATAATTCCAGTGCATTATCCACTGCTATGTAGCTTTGAAATTTGGAATATTGTGCTTGCTGAGAAGTTAGATAACTCAGCAATCCATGGAACAGTACATCGTAGGTAGCAGCAAGTTACAGCACATTCCAGTGAGATACTCCGTTTCCGGTTTTGTGTAAACGGTATTAACAAAACATTGCACGCCAGGAAAAACAGTTAGACTGATTATAGGGGATAAAGCGACACAATAGAGGGATAAAGCAGATTATTTAACATTGCCTAAGTAATGTTAAAAGAAAAAAAGTAACACCCGCTAGTACAATGAAAAGATGCATTTGAGCATCTGTATTGAGTGGTGTGGATGAGAGAAGCTCAAAATAGAGAATGGAAAAGTTGTCAGCTGCATCGATGCCGAGGAGGAAAGTGAGGATGAAAAAATAGTTGATCAAAATGTAACCTCAAGATTACAACTTTCCTCGCGTCTGTGGGTCTGAATTTCTGAAAGCCTTCTTTATGGCCTTAGTTGTTTGAGCATCTTCGTGATTTCTGTAGACCTGATTAGTCGCTGAGTCCGACCATACGCGCTCAACGTTTTTGTCCTCCTTGTAGCTGATTAACGGCCTTTGTCAGTTTTTTGAGTCAAGAGAGCTAACGATTTTTGTTACATTCTGCGTAGGTACAGAAAGTCTTCACATTCCCCCACGTGAATGATTGTTGTAGCGAAGAGCTTTTTACTAGTAAAAGTATGAAGGCTTTGAAAGATTTAGCTCTCTACATATTTATTTTTTTGAAAAGTGTCGATGAACTCGATAAACTTATTTTAATTCTTATGAATGTTACCTTCATTTTGCTGCTATAATTTCAGGCGAGCTGTGGGGAATGTTGCTGGAAGCGCAGAGCAGTGAAGATGGCATTCCGGCATCACTGGTGGAAAAGAAGATGAAGGAGATACAGGAAAAGGTACTGTAAAATATGCATTT